ATTCGTATTTTTTGACGTATTTTTAGTAAATTTTTAGAAAACTAACATTTTTTCACTCGAGACTCAAAAAAAAAATAGTCGGTTTTTTTGCGCCACCCTAATAAATATAAATCGGTTCATTCATTCAAAAGTAATTGCAGTTTGAAAATTTAAAGAATGGTGTTTTATTAAACTTCTATCAGACTTTTGAGCTCGAAGAGCTCAAAAACATAGAACAGCTAACTCTTTCAGCTCGGAGAGCTTAAAATAACACATAAATTATATTTTTGAGCTCGGAAAGATCAAAAACGTTTTGCTAATTTTTTTTTGTAATATAAAAATACAATTGTAACAACCAATACATTAAAACTTCCAATAAATAATGTATATAAAAAATTATCACAAACAATTCCTCTGTAGTCAGGAATTCAGTAATTTTCAGATGGTTGTAACTGATCTTCTAGTTATAATTTATAATCATCATACATTTTTGTAGAGTTTTGGTATTTTTGGTAAAGATTTTTTTTTTTACATTTTATAGAAATATTTGAGGGGGTAAGAGCAAAAAATAAAAATAAAAAAAATTTTTTTAAATACCGTACTGAATATTAAGCAATAAAACTTTTATGATTTTTAGAGGGGAATATATTTTTAGCGGTAACAAGTCCTGCTGGTAATTTAACTCTATTCAATATTGATTCACAAACAATCCATGATAATTTGCTCATTAATGCTTGGACAAGATCACAAACACTAAGGTAATGCGCAAATATTAAAAAACTACTTTCATTATCCCATAGATTTTTCATAAAATTAAATATGTCACTTTATTTTTTATAGTCGAGGAACTGATCACAAATTGATGATTGGTTCAGCCATTAATGTAATTTATCAGTTAACATGGAATGAAACCCCTGAAAACGTAAATATTAAACCAATAAACATTGGGGATGCGTATGAAGATCTTTGGTGGCCCGTCAAAAGTCTTTGTTGTCAATATGAAAAGGTGATGTTATTAGTTTTAATTCTTATTTTAATTTATCCTGTTACCTATTCAATTTTTTTGGACATTATAAATCGTCAGTAAAAAACTATCATCAATGTCAAGATAATTCGTGTACCTGAAGAAAAGAGTGTAGATAGAGCAATTTTACGGGTTTCGACTTATGTCGTTCCAAAACGCAAATATTTATCAAAAATTCTATTGATATTTATTGATTTTAAATATCAAAAATTATATTATAAAAATATCCGATTTTTGAGAAGAAATAATAAAAAATTATTTTATGGAAGAAACTGGAGCAAAATAACATTTGGTGGTGACAAAGTGAACAGTAGGGGAAAGGAAGACAAAACGGATACTCTAAAAATTTAGTAAAAAAAATTTTTTGAATAGTTCAAAATTATTATTCATAACATCATTTTGAACTTTTTCTAATTTTCAAAAATTTTTTACGATTCTTTTTAGCAATTAAACTGCAAGTTGTTTTTTTTTTTTTTTTTTTCAACGTAAATAGTTATCTTGGCAAGATTTTTAACTAAGTTACATATATATTTTGATTATTATTTTTGTAAAACTTTTTTTTTGTATCTATATTTAAAATAAGTCAAATCATAGATAGGCAAAAAGAGTTTCTACGCTCTTTTAGGTTTAAGAATGAAAGGTATCTTACACAGAGAGAAAAAATTTCTTTTTAAAAATATTAGGCATTGTTGTGACAAGAAATTAATTTGTTGGAAATTTTCAACAATTTTATTTCTTAACTGAAGAAATCAAAATTTTTCTCACAGTAATTTTGTTGTTGGAAAAAAGTTTGCTAGATTTGAAAAAAACGCAATTTTAGATGGACAACTCGAGAATTTTCATCCAAAATTGTTTTTTCCTGAATTTAAAAAACTTTTTTTTAACAAGAAAGTCACTGTGAGAAAAATTTTGATTCCTTCAACTAAAAAAAATTGAATTGTTGAAAGTTTCCAATAAATTAATTTCTTATCACAACAATGCCCATTTTTTTCAAAAGAAATTTTTCTCAGTGTACTAAGAGTAAAACTTTCTTATACATTTAATCTATAGACAACAATCGCGCTCAAGTACCAATCAACATCAAGAGTAAGCTTTGATAATGGTGATTTGAAAATTACTAAAAGAATGGATCCGTATTTCGATCCACCTCCAAGAAAAATCTACATACCGATTCCCGAAGTCGTAATCTTTAATGAAGGTACGTAATATATTTTATAATTATAATTTAAATTAATAAATTAAAATTCGTCATTATCATTATCAGTGAAATTAAAATTGATCGATATCTGACAATTTTTAAGATTTTTTTAAGTAATAAATGGTAAAAAAAAAACTAAAAAAAATTTAGTGGTCTCGTTGATTTTTCCAAGTAAAACGAAAAAATAGTCAGTGGTCTGCTAATTTCAACATCATCATCATTATTATTTATGATTATTTTTATTTTTATAGGCCGGAGTCTAGTTGTAGTAGTACTGAACGATTCCAATCAAGTTCGTATCAAACGTCATTATTTGTTGAAACATATCAAAAGTAAAATTGTATCGGTCGTCATGCATGTTAATATGTTGTTTTTGGGAACTTCATCAGGTAATATAATCAAAATTATTTTATTTGTTCAAACACGTAATTCAAATTAGTAATTATATTTTTATTATATTACTAGGAAATATTTATTTATTCGTGCTGAAAGATATTCAACAACTTGTGGATGAAAATCTAAATCAATTACCAATCATACAGGTTCTATCAACTAGCAATGAACCAATTCTTACTTTAGACATTACTGAAGTTAAGAAAGAGCCATATATAATTGCATTTACTAAATCTAATTTACATGTTGTAAAAATATGATTTAATTACTAATATGATAATTACACAATTGTTTTGAAAATTTTAAATACAAAACGATTTAACTACTTGATTTAATTTAAAAAAAAAAAATAAATTTAGTACTTTTAAGAAGATTTTTGTATTTTTCTTTCTTTAAAATATTATTGTGCCAAATCGTAAAAAAAAAATTCATTCAAGTTATAAATTTTCAAATATTATTATAAGAATATCTAGAGAAGACATTATAAAAGTAAAAATTTCAATACCATCCTTTTTTTTTTTCATTTCAATTCATTTGTTCAATTCCAAAGTAATCATGAAGCTTTTAATTTGATAATTTTTAAGAATATGTCTGTCCATACGTAAAAAAAAGTCACTTGAATAATAATAGTTTTTTGAATAATAAAAAGACATGCATTTTAATGATTTTTTTCTCTAATATACTTAAATAAGGTAAGTAGCTCATTTTTATAAAAAAAAATGTCAACTTATAAAAAAAATAAAATTAAAATACTTACTTAAACAGCCTCTCAGAAAGTTATAGATATTTAATAAAAAATTACTACAAAAATTTTCAAAAATTTCTTACCTCCCTAATCGTCAGCAAATTTTTGGAGCATGGTGTAATTACCTTTATTCTACTACAATAACATATAAATTTAAAACAATGCAAGTAAGTAATATATAACTAACAATAAAAAATTCTTAAAAATTAATATTTGTGTAAAAAAATTGATTAAAACAACAATATTTTATTACTTATTTACTATTTTATTTAACTTATTTATATTTGAATCTTTTTTATATAAAATATAATAAAATTTTCATTACAGTACTCTTACATATAAACATCAAAATCATAGAAGTAGAAATATTAGTTTAGATTAATTATATCGAAAATTATTTAATCAGCTCCTTGTCTACGCTACGATCTTATAAATAATCAATTAATAATAATTATAATAATGTGTATGATGTCTACTTTCGAGAAAAAAGAGAAATAATTAATGCATAATCTTTCCGTAAGTAATTTACAATTTATAATTGAATTATCCTTAAATAAGGTTATTCTGAATCAGAGTGAGAACTTCCTTCCGATTCATATTCTCCAACATTTAGAGTAAATTTATACTCTTGATCGCATCCCAAATACGCATCACTCATGAAGTATAAAGTGTATGAATGTTGTCCTACTGCAGGAGCAACAAAATCTAATTTTACTCTAGCTTTTTGTTGCAAGTTTACTCTCTTGATTGACAAAAGTGAATTTGTTTTAGGATCTCCGATAACAACCCACCAACCTTCCTCGCGTTTTTGGGGGAAGAATGGTGCAACAACTGGTCCACCAACATCGTCTTCACGCTCTAATTGAACTACAATATTAACAGTGTTACCACAGCGAATTCTGTCCTTGTCTTCAATCTCGTATGACATCTCGATATTAGGATAGCGATTGCAAAATTTAGCAATATCCATCATTTGAGCATCAGTCATCTGTAACAATCTATTTCTGTCTTCATCATCTAATTCCATCACATCAAATACCGTTTCGATTTTCTTTTCCGTACACCTCTTAATTGTTTCAGCAGTGAAATGCGGTAATTGTTTAAGCGTCGAATCCTTGGACCACATTGCTTGAGTGACCATTTGGGCAAGTTCCATAGCGGCAACGGCCGGTGCTAGCCATCCCGAAGAACTTAAAACATCTACACATGCTTGGATTAATCTTATCGCCTTGCTTAATACGTATTCCGTATCTTTTTGTAATTCTGGACCCAACTGAATTCGCGACAAATGAGCTTGCAAGAGTAATTGAGCTTTAACCTGTGGATCAGCCATTCTTGATACTTGAGGTGCATGTGGTAATCTTTGTGCCAAGCTTTTCAATAGATTTTCTTCACGTTGTCTCACAGGAACAGATTGGTACTCAGCAGCCGATGATATTATCTCAAGTAACCCTCGGATTTTAGTTTTGCTGGTGAGTGAATGACTGAACAATTCAATTGTCGCGTAATTTATGTAATAATAAGCAGCGATCATTCCTAAATTAAGAGGTAGTGTATCCATTTCGTCTTCAACTGCAACACATTTGGCTTGCTCGAGATCGCTTAGTGTCTGTTCAACTAATTCTGACAGATAATCTGACAAATGACGATGTGTCACTCCTTGAAGGGCGTAATAATTTGGATTTTGTGTTAAACGCCGATATAGGAATGTCCATGTTAAATAGTCAACGGCGTCTTGCTTGTTTTCAATTGTTTTTGTAACTATTTCGGCATTAAAATGATCGTGAAGACCATGGTTAAGATGGCTCTCAACCGGAAGTGGTTCATTTAAGAATTTTTTAAAGAAATCTTTCTTGGAATTTTGACACAATAATACACATTTAGCATCGTCATCTTCTAACGGTCTGTTAGCACGAGCAACCATTTGTAGTATATCAGTAATTGGATAATCTTCATAAGCATGTGTTTTACCATTGTAAGACTGAGTGTCCATTACAACTACCAAGTGAGAACTGATGGATAAACCCCAGGATAGATCACGGGTAACAACAGCAACTTGAATTGCACCACTGTCAAATAACTGTTCAACCAAATGTCGATCATCAGTGGATAAACCTTCGTGTAAATAAGCAACACCTTGTGATAATGTTTCTTTCAATGTCTTATCACTCATACGATCTAAAAATGGTTTTATATCAGCCTCTTCAGCGTGGAAGAATTTTGATGGTTGACCTTCGGCAGCAGCAAATGTAAGAATGTCAATAGCCGTTAATCTTGCTTGTCTTCGGGTTGGAACAAATATAATGATTGGTTTTTTTTGTGCATGACGTAAAATAGCATTGTATACGGGTTTGGCCATAGCAGCTAATCTTGACGCGTTGTGAGTTATATTTATACCTTGTACATGAAGTTCTAATGGCACTGGTCGCACTGATGGATGAAAGTTGAATGTCGCAGCAGCAGGGGCACCAAGCCATTGAGCAGCATCTTTAGCATCTGCCAGTGACGCTGAGAGGGCAACAATTCGTGTTGGTTTTTCCAACTGTGCTGATATGTAACGTGCTCGTGAACAAGCTACTTCAAGTACAGGGCCATCTTCACCGCCGATCAATTGCAATTCGTCGACAATAAAAAGTTGGATATTTTGAACATTTTTACGTTGCTTCCAACGTCGTGATAATACGTCCCATTTGTCGGCAGTTGTTATTACTATATGAACCTTTGCAAGTAGTTTTAAATCTGTTCCGGTTTCACCGGTCAATAAAACCACTTTTTTACCGAGATTACGACCAAATTTAACAAGCCAATCTGCGTAGACTAATTCAGCAAGTGCTTCTTTAGTTACCATATAAACACAACGTCCATCTGGATTTTGGGAAAATAATCGTAAAATAGCAAACTCAGCAATTGTCGTTTTTCCTGATCCTGTTGGTGCACCGATAAATACATTATCATTTGAATTATAAACAGAATTAAAAACTTGAGTTTGAATTGGGTTGAATTGAGGAAATTTGTCTACATATAATGCTTCAAATTTTGGATTACGCAGCGCTGTTATTGGCAATGGTTGTAAATCAAGTAATTCAGTTGGAGGTAAATTTTTTTCTGGCAATATTAAATGACGGAAACTCACTGGTAATTGGGATTCCGCACCAATCCAACGATCTGACACAACTCGCAAAAAGTATTGAGGTGGCAATGGTTCAAAAACTGGTACAAAAAATTTAATTAGATGATCATCAGTCGCAAATTTGGATTTTAAAAGAAAATACTCGTGATGTAAAATAACTTCTGAATCAACATCTTCAACCAAGATCCAAAATGCTTCTGATGCACCGTGAACTTTTTCATCCCATTGAAAATCTGGTGTAATAGTTAATTCAATACGTAATGTCGAACGAGTAATAGGTTGAATGTGTGTCGCTAACTCAAGTTTTGGGAATTGACGTATATATTTGTGAACAGTTTTACCGAGTTTTGGTACTCGAATTAATTCACCAATTTCATTGGGTCCTAAATCATACAATCGTTCCCAAGGAAAACTTTTCTTCTCAATTTTCTTAACAATTTCTTCAGGCATTTTTCTAAACTGTCGCAATGGTGACATTGACTGCCAAATTCGTCGGTCAATCATTTTACATAGAGCCAAACATTTATCAGCCAGTTGTGCCCATCCACGGAATAAAACAATTTCAAAAATAGCTCTCATTAAACGTGAGGCTGACTGTGTAACAAACACCATGTCTGACATAAGAGCAAATCCTTCAAGTTTTAGTTGAGAAATATAGGCTTGTAACAAAACATTAACTTTAGCACTTGGTTCTTCAATGCTCTCCTTAATTGGTATTGGAACTCTTTCCATCAATTTTTGTAGCTCTAATTTTTCTTCTTCTCTTACATTAAGATGTTTAAATTCACTTGATAATGAAAATACTCGGAATAATTCTATTTCACAGAGTGTTTTTTTCAACAGTTGATTATATGTCGACATTGTTTCGTGAGTACAATAATAATGAGATGCAATTCTACCGAGTTCAGTTGCCTGAAAGTTTCCAGATTTTCGATCATATTTAATCAAACCACTACGATCAAGAGCTACAGCTGCTGAATGAACAAGATCTGCACGATGTAATTCAAGAAGTGGGTCTTCTTTTAGTCTATCATGACTGATACCGTATAAAGTTGGGCAGCGTAGCATTCTGATGTATAAGTATGTGTATCCAAGCCAAATTACCGCATCACGAACATTTTGAATAGTACCTAGGACAATTTCAGCATTCAACATGTCAGGCATTTTTGATATTAACTGAGATTCAATCGGTAACTGTTGATTTAAAAGTGATAGATAGTATTGCAATTCACTGTGGTTGGTGATAAGAATACCTTCACCTTTGGTATCATACGTAGGACGTCCAGCACGACCCAACATCTGTAATACGTCAAGAGCTCCTAATTCAACCCAACGACCTTTTTCAGGGTTATATATTTGAGTGCCTTTGATAATAACGGTGTGAG